TAGAAAGCCAATTAGTAGCAATCCAAACATAGCCGCTTCCCAGCATTCCTAGATACTGAGCCACACTGAACACTTTAAGACCCCAGCTACCAGGAACATGTACAACCAGAATCCTGGACTCCCTCAAAGCTACCTTTACCAACACATCGGTGATTTCATCCCGAGTTGGCTCGGGCCTTAGACGTGCTTTGTAGGTGATCCTGCATCGCCTTTCGGCTAGTTTATCCCCCAATGCAGCAATCCCATTTCTTCCGTGATCGTCATCCTCATAGATTGCTATCACCTCTCTCCATTCGTAATGGTCTATGATCTCAGCAATGGCAGCCATCTGATATAAATCGTTCTGAGAAGTCCTCACAAAGAATGGGAACTGAATAGGAGACAGGGTAGGATCCGTGGATGAGAATGACAATAGGGGGACTTGCAGAACATTGGCAATGTGGGAAATCACATGAGCCGTCACAGATGACTGGGGACCAATTATGGCAACAGTGTCTTTCTCCATGAATAGTAAAGCTAAAAGAATAAAAACCAAACCAATACATGACAAATTTTAAAACATAGCAAAAGTTTTACGCTTCATAATAATGATAAGAAAGATGACATGCCTTCCACTACCGCCATGAATCCACTGTAATTGGAGTCCTTCAACTGTAGTTTTAATTGAGTTCCTTGAAGAATATCTGGGTGTGAATTTATATCGTCTATGGCTGCATCGATTGCAACTTTTGCAGCTTTTCCAATTACGGACTTGATCGAAAAAATAGCCCCAATATTCACAACTTTTGGCCTTGCCGTGGCGTTTGTGATCAGTCCAATTACAGGAAGACCGTTGCACAAGATCATGGACGCCAAAAGCCATACGATGATATTCATGGCGAGTTGCTGCTGCTCCTGCTTTGCTACAGTTGCTCTGAATGATAGAAAGAAATGAGTCAAGAACCATAAGAAAGGCAACCAAAAATAATGTCAGTAGATTCGAAACAAGTAATCAGAACCAAGAAAACATAAGATCCTGAGCAGAAAACCTTGTGATCCTCTAACTTGCAAAAGCAAAAAAGGACTCCATCCCCCACCCCCACCCATAAAAAAATGGCATCAAGTGCGAGCCATCAAATCAAACAGTTGTAGCAGTAACCAGGAAAAAAGAGAAGTTTTAGTTCACATGAAAGAAACTTGCACAAGAATATTGGTAGAAACATGAAAAGCAAAAGAAAAACACGACTTTAAGAACAAAGGAAAATGGTAACTCACGGCAGCAGAACAAGTTTAGCGTCGTGGTCATGGATTCTAAGTTATAAACCAAAGAAAGCAATAGCTTAGAGAGAGAGAGAGAGCTTCTAGCAGTAGTAGGCTTAAATGGTTATACTCCGACCAAAAGTGAGTTAAAAAAGCAATTCAGATACATTTAACATGTGCTGAAACGACTGGGTTGCAATTTGAGATTGGAGACATGATCAAGCTTCGTGAATGGTGGATAGTTGACTGATAAGAGAAGCTAAACAAGATAATGTGCATCAGACTCGATTGTCGCCTACTGTAAATTCGCCTAGGTTGAAAATTATTTGAGAATGAGAGGCATGGTAGGGTGGGGAGGGTGTTTTCTTAGTTGAAATTGTTCTAATTATTACATCAAATCGATTAATCTAAATATCATTAAAAATGGATTAATCGACTAATTAGTAAAAACAATTATTTTTTATAAATTATTAGATATTTCACTATCAAAATAAGTTTTTGGCAGTCTCTCAAATCCTACATTATTTATATATAAGTCTTTTTCAAAATATTTAGATAAAGTTTTGATTTATTAGATAATGAAGATAAGATCTAAAAATATGCGTTAGTGGTGGATGCAAAGCATACCGGTGTGGATGTGCTTATTTTAAAATCTGAATTTCTTTATAGTAGCGGTCTATTTTATTATAGATGTTGATCCTAAAATTTTATTTGTGTTCATCTCATACGAAAAAATTTAATAATTAATATATGTAATCCACCTTCAAGAATAATTTTAAATCCGTCACTAGCATGCATCATCGTTATCGTTTGGTATATTCATGCTCGTATAATTGAATGTTTTTAATGCATATCCCATGTGTTGTAAAATTTATATAATTTTTGGTCAAATATTTTTATTTCTTTTTATTTTTAGTTTTAAATAACATCCGCGTTGAAAAAAATGTGAAAATGACCTACGACATAAGTAAAGCCCTCAACAAAATAATCAAAGTTTTTTTTTTTGTTTTTTACAATTTGGTTATTTTAAAACATATCAAATTTTTATAAATTAAATTGCTAAGCAGTAATGAATGGCCCCTCAAGTGGTGGTGGTGCGATATAATTATAGTATATGCACTAAAATAATGCCTGAAGCATAAAGCCAGATCCAACTCAAGTCACGCCAGGTTTGAAAACTGTCCACTGGCCACTACCATTTCCAATCGAGACTCAACTTGGTAGTGACCCCTCAGACCCCACCCCTTTTGTAAGTGCCCCAATCACCAATTTCTAATTGCTGCTTTGCTGGCGGCTTGGATTTCGTTTGTGCGTTTCCGACATCATCGATGCGTTTGCAATTGCATCAACTCTCCCAGTCGGGAGACATTTCGATTCGGAGACTGGCTGGCACCACTCCTTGTTTTCGTCGAATTACCTTATATATTCCAGGAGAATATTATATTAGGGATGATTTTATAAAACTTTTAGAAGAGACGGGTAGATCAGGCGTGCAAGCTTTGTTTCTTTCCGGTGTTCTTGGTTTAGTGGACAAAGAATAGTTAAGGTTGACTCTTTATAAGCCACGTTGAATGAATGAATGAAGGAAAAATAGCCATTGGCCGTTTTCCGTGCTGATATATTCGTGAGGGTTTTCAACGTGGTCCTAATAATAGGTGGGTGGTGGCTACGTTTCTCTAATACTAAACAAAACCGCATATCATTTCAATTAGTTGAAGTATTTCAGAAGAGTGTTTTTCTTCTTATTTATTGGTGCAGATGCTCTTCCTTCACCTTCGTGTTTAATTTTCAAATACTTTCCATATGTATATATATTAATCGAAGCTTTTCATTTTTCTATGTTCATCAATAGATGGAGCGCTCCTTTGAAATTTTGATTAGAAACAAAGTGTTTGCACCTGTGGAGGAATAGATGCCCATGCATGTCTTTTTCCCTTCTCTTTTCTTTTTGTGGAGATATGTTTGTTTCAATGTCCAATGATGACTTAAATTATTATTATATCAAGCCAGGGTTTGGAATATTCTTTTGTCATCCCTAAATCTTCAAGGTAATGTTCATAGCTATACCAGTTTCATTCAATTTGCATTGATGCATGTTTGTAAGTGTATATATCCACTACAGCAAAACTGTTCTAGCGGTATTTTTTGCGGCGTTTTTAAGGTAAACGTCACTAACTTTAAACATATAATGGCGTTTACATGCCAAACGCCACAAAATAGAAATTTTAACAGATTGATACTTTAGTAACGTTTCTTACACAAACGCCACAATAAATTTCATATATAATGCCCTTTTTAATCTAATAAACTTATATTTAGTGATTTTTTTAAAAAACGTCGCTATAAAATGATAAATCGTAACGTTCGCTAAAGAGCCGCAAACATTAATAAAATCCTATCATCTTTTTCTCTCATTCTAGAAACGTGTGTTGCTTGCACTTGGACTAAGCGATTGTCTCCAAAATCTATATAATTATTAGGATAAACTATTTTATTCCTCAGCCAATAATGATTATATTCTTATTTTGCTTACTTAAATTAAAAATAATAAGAAATTTCCATTAAAATAATTAAACAATATGTCATCGACACCATAATGAATTGACATACCTCTTTTTTTCAACTGAGATCATAACAATTTTAACCCTATATCTATTCATAGATTCATATTTTAAGAAAAATCTTATTTTTTTCTTTTAATAAAATAAACCTCATCCGTCATATAATTTTTTCACCCTTTTTTACGTCGTCGATAATTTCTTGAACTAAACACCACAGTTAAAAGACTCCATGTCCCCTCTTTTTTTTATCCCCTCTAAATTCCTGAAATTTCGAAAGAGGCCTCAATTTTTCATTGGTTGAATATCTACTATGCACCATCGGTTGAACTTGGTGTTGTTCTCGCAATGAGGACTCAAGATAATCGAAAATGGATTCTCTTTCATACATACTTTACTTCAAGTCTTAATAATATGTTAGATAATATTATAATTTTAAAAATAATATTATGTTTCGTGAATTGAACTCATGCTAATTATTTACATATGAACCATCGTTATATCAATTCTAACAAACAGGCCAGAAGCCTAAAATTACGTGATCCACAGCCAGTCCAAAACAATATAAAAATGGTACATGTAGGTTTATCTTAATTCCTTTGTATTAGGATTGGCTGCTTTAGCATCGAACAATGAACATGGTTGGTTTTGGTTGGATGACTCGTCACAAGAAGTGAAAAAAGAAGAAGAAGCACGAGGTGAATAATAGAGACGTAGATTGATGATCCAAGTGAAGATAAATCCAAACCAAGGGAAAGGTAAACGATGAGGAAGCGAAACACGTGTCAATATCCCAATCCCCTTTCAAGCTCTGCCTATAATACAGTGCGCAAAACTTGGAATCCCATAAATATATATAACACACGTCGTGTTTCTTCTCTCTCTAAACGGTCCTCCCTTCCCCTTTTCCTACTGCCATGCTTTGCTTTTGCATTCTTCCTTCTTCCTCTTTTAATACTATTTTCTCCCTCACATTCTAAGCTTTCTCTTCTCCATTTTATTTATTCATATTTTCTTCACAATTGATAGGGTGTACCCAGCCTGGCAAATGGGGCTGCTTTTATTTCCTCACACCAACCAATAAAAGTTTCCACCTTGCTTTTTTTTATACCATAAGTCGGGGGTGGATTGATTGAAACTTAATTGAAATCCTTGGATCAAGTGCTGCATCTTTCCTCATACAAAATACGGGTTTTGGTGCCTTTTTTTCCTTTGAAATGATGGGTTAGTGTTCTTTTGTTTGTTTGTTTGTTATGGTGGATTGTGGAGGGAGATCAATGGCTTCAGCAACAGATGTATTTCCTGCAACGAAACTCGAAGGTGGAAGCTTCAAAGGCGGATTCGGTTCAATGAAGGATGAAAACGACGACACATTGGGGAATATGAGCCAAACCAACGCTGCCAAACCTCCGAGAAGCCTCCCTGCTATGCGCCATTGCACAAGTTCTGCTAGGTTAATCGAAGGGGTTAGCCTCTTTTTGAGTTATTGGCCTCTCTCTGGTTTTCATGTAATAACCTCTCTTATTGGTCGGTGTAGGAATCGGTTATGGGAGCTGGGGGCTTGAAGTCACCACCATCGAGAGAGGACACTGGATTTCTACCTGTATTCCGTTCGGGAAGCTGTTCCGAGAAGGGACCAAAACATTATATGGAAGATGAGTATATATGTATCGATAATCTGTTTCAACACCTTGGATCGCCTACAGACTTTCCTTACCTAGGAGCATTCTATGGGGTGTGTAACTTCTATTAGGTTAGATTACTTAAATTCAGTACGACCGTTTCATGAATCACTTGCATCATCATTATCAGATTCATCTGCCATTAGTATAGACCATATTCTTGTATGTAGAATTGAGGGCTCCCTTGTTTCCCAAATCCCATAGGTATTTGACGGACATGGTGGTCTCGATGCAGCATCCTTTACCCGAAATAACATTTTAAGTTTCATCATCGAAGACAAAAATTTTGCAACCGGCACGAAAAAGGCAGTTAAGAGTGCATACGTGAAAGCTGATCATGCACTTGCAGATGCTAAATCTCTCGATAGATCCTCTGGCACAACTGCTTTGACTGCTCTCATTTTGGAAAGGTAAACAAACCTAAATTGCTATAAAGGTGTTCCTGCATCCTGTGGTTTCGACATTGATATGAACATTTTTACCTGCGCTCGTTTCATGTCAGGACCATGATCGTCGCTAATGCCGGGGATTCTCGAGCTGTATTGGGGAAACGAGGCCGAGCAATCGAGCTGTCCAAAGACCACAAGCCCAACTGCACATCGGAAAGGTTAAGAATCGAGAAACTAGGTGGTGTGATATACGACGGATACCTGAATGGCCAGCTTTCGGTAGCACGAGCTCTCGGAGACTGGCACATCAAAGGCGCTAAAGGTTCGAAGAGCCCCCTGAGCTGTGAACCGGAACTGGAAGAAATATTACTGACAGAGAAAGATGAGTTTCTTATAATGGGGTGTGACGGGCTTTGGGATGTGATGAGTAGCCAATGTGCCGTAACAATGGTGCGGAAGGGGCTGATGCAGCATAACGATCCGGAGAAGTGCTCAAGAGCACTTGTGAAAGAGGCGCTGCAACGCAACACATGCGATAATCTAACCGCCGTCGTCGTCTGCTTCTCTCTGGATCCACCACATAAGATCGAAATCCCGAGATCGTACAAGAGGAGGAGTATATCAGCAGAAGGGCTGGATCTCCTCAAGGGTGTTTTGAACAACGAATGATTTGAGTGGTGAAGAATTGCCTGTATCTTGTACAAAAGGAGGAAGAAAACAATGGAGTTCAAACTAATTGGAGAGCAAACAACTGATCCCTCCCTCTGGATAGTGAAGATACTCATTTTTTCATTTAAATATTATTATTATTATTATAATTATTATTATTATAATTATAATTACTAATTTTATTATTTATTACTAATATTATTATTAATTATTATTACAAACGGGCCAAATCCGGCCCAACCCAAAAGCCCAAATATATAACCCTAAACCCATTTAGGGTTTGTATCTAGCTCCCAGCCGCCGCTTCCAGAAGGCTCAAGCTGCCTCTCCAGCTTCCAGACGCTGCTGCCGACGCCTCCACTGCCAGATGGTCCAACCAGTCGCTACCGACGCTGCTTTTGCCACGCCACCTCACCGCCGTAAATTCCAGAACACCAGATGGCAGCTCAAATCGAGCTCCATGGTGAGTCACCAGCATAGCTATGGTGACTCACCTAGACATCCCTCTCGGGACCGGTCCAAACAGAACCTCGTGGTGGCTATAAAAGCCACCATACCTGCGAAAGAACAGACAGCCACGGAGAGACACGGCAGAGAACGACAACAAAAAAATAATAACAACCCTCAGCAGCAAGAAAACCAAGAAAAAAAAAGAAAAAGGAAGAAGAGACTTTACCGAGGAAGCCTCGACCACGGATCTCGCCGGATACAACAAAAACCGAAGGTATATTTGTAGATTTGCTCCGATTGGGAGTCGTTTAACGGGAAAAAGTATCGGGACCGTCATTAGGACGGTCCGATCTACATTTAGATGTAAAAAAAAATTTTCCGGCCACCGAAGACGGTGGCCGGCGGCGGTGGTTGACGGCGGATGAACGCCGGCTAACGGCTGCCGGCCGGCTGAGCTTCTCTCAGTTTAGAGAGAAGACAGAGAATTCTTCTCTCTGTTTGAGAGAAAGAAAAAAAAAAGAAGAAGAAATGAAATGGCTGGCCCTTCGGGCCAGCCGATTTGGACTCTTATAGTCCTTCCCGAACGACGTCGTTTCGGGAAGGACTATGCGCGTAATTATGAAATAGTTAAACCCCGTCCGCAATCCTTCGTATTTGTAAATTTTACATTTTAGTCACTAAATTGAATTTATAATATTTTAATTAGTCTTCGAATTTTAATTTTATTTATTTTAGTCCTTCATATTAAAATAATATATTAGGATAAATTACAGATTTAATCCATTAATTTTAATAATAATATTTTAATCCTTAGTTTATATTTTTAATTTATTTTATTCTAATATCCAAATTTTAGATAATTTTATTTAGTCACCAATAAAGAAATAACATATTTAATCCCTGTAATTTAGATTAATTATGAATTAGATTTTTAATTTTATTTTTTCGTTTATTTATATGTTTCATTTATTTTATTGTTTTTAATATATTGTTTAGTAGTATTTATTTTTATTATATTATTAATATTTTATTAAATATTTTTATAAATATATAATAAATAGTATTTTTTAAATATTTATTTTTAATATTGAAGAAAAAGGACAGTCTTAATACAACTGGATGTCCTATTCTGATATTTTAAAATTAAAAAGTAACCATATTATTTAATTAATATTTATCATATCAAAGAAAAGAGCTGTCTTAAGGCACCTAGAAGTTCTTTTCGGATATTTTTAAATAAATAAATATTTTTTATAATTTTGAAATAATAGATTATAAATAAATATTTTTGAATTTTTAAATTTTAATAATAGAGACAATTTATAATTAAAAAGTACCAATTTTGGGCGTTGTAGGGGTGCTAATCCTTCCCTAAACGTAACCGACCACGAATCCCTTTTTTATTAAAAAAAACGAATTTTTGGTTATAAAACGCAGATCAGTTCATCTTTTAAATATGGTTTTCTTAAAAACTCTTTTAAAAGATAATTTTTAGGTATTCGACCTACCTGATCCAAAAGGCCGATGGCGACTCACAAATTATTTTCAAAATTATTTATCAATTTCCCCGCCAAATTTAATATTTCGTGCCCGGACAAAAACCGGTTACGACAGCTTGGCAACTCCGCTGGGGATGATGTCAAACTTTAAAACTAATTATTAATTGCCTCTATCAATTAGAAAATTAAAAATTCATATATTTAATTTTTAATTCTTTCTTTCAAAATTTTTATATACTTATTATTTTCATATATTTATATGTTATTTAATGCTTTATTTTCAAATATTAAATTTTTTTATTTATTTGTTAGAGGTTTGAACATTTCTCCTCACACACAACACTTGCATTGCATAACATAAAGCTCTATAATTGAGTTTGTCCCTTTTAAGTGGGAGTGAAAGCGACGTCTTCGTGAGAATTTATTCTCCGTGTCAGACCTAGCAAGTAACTTTCGGGGTTCATATGCTCTATGTCTTCGTGAGAATTTATTCTCCGCGTCAGTCATAGAGAAATGTGTCCCCTCGAATTGAACTCGATCCGCTTAAGTCTGTAATGGACTAGGATTGAGGGTTTGACAGCCCAAGGGGGCATCAACAAGGATAGTTCGAGTACCTTTACTCCTAGAACTAAAAACCTGCATATAATAAACCCTAGAAACTCTCCTGATCTGAAACCATTGTAAGTAAGTATACACAAAGGAGAAATAGTTTTAGCTTTAATGTATTTATTTCCTTTTCCTGATAAATGCATGCGAACTAGAAATCATGCGGTTAGGTTAAATTTTCCAAACAAAGCATGAACTAGAAAGCATAAGATTAAGATTTTACATTGATAAATAGATTTTTTTTAGTTGGTACTAACTATTCTATTTTTTTCATGCATATTACATTGCTCTAATATGTTCATATTGATTTCTTTTGTTTGCATTACATGATCATGGCATAACCAAAAGGTGTGGCTTGAAAGATTGTTCATCATATTGGAAAGAAATCGTAAATGGACAAAAAGTTTTATGATCAAACAAAATATGATGCGGCCAAAGAAAGACATCCTGAGGAAACTACGAGGATCGAGGGAAGTTCTGCACACAGAGAACCGGTTTATTATACCAAAAGTAATCCATAAAGATTCTGCCAGATTGATACCAAAAGCAGTCTATGGTAAGAGTATCAGTCGGGACATTCAGAGTAGTGGAGATTTTATGAAGCTCAAGCATGTTATTTGAAGGACTTGAACGACCAAGATGAGAAATTGAGCACAGAAATGAAAACCATGCATGAAGATTTTCAGAAGATCAGTCAAACCTTTCAAAATGCTGGCCTAGGAAGTACCCCAGAAGAAATGGATAGCAGGGGTCACCAAGCTGAAAAAGAACTGCAACATATATGAAGATCTTGTTCAAGAACTTCTTGGACAGAAAAGATCTCTTACAAGGGAAAATGAGCAACTCCGAGAAGTGACACAGAAAATGAAAGAGAATGTCATGGAAGAGGTTGCAGTCCAGACAAGCAATATGTCCTTAATTGAAACTAATTTGGCTTTGGAGAAGTTAGGAATGAATATATCCCTATATGTAAAGTTTTGTTTGATGTACCGAAACTTTGTTCAATGAAATCTGTTCTAAGATAATCACTCTTGAGTAAACACCTTTTCATACATGCATTTGCATTTTGCATCTTTGCATTTTCATTGTGCATTTATACTTTATATTTGTTTGTACTATACAATTTGCATTTTATTGTTACATTCACATATTTACATTTGAATTTGCATTTGCATTTTTACGTTTGTATTTACATTTCATTTTTACATAATTACATTGGTTTTAAACTATTTACATACATTTAAACATGAAAACATGAGAGTAATTCGTGGAGAATTCCATGATAGAATTTCTGAAATCAAAGTGGAGCTAACTTGGTCTTCCTAAACAAGGATAAGAACCATGAATGAGATTTTAGCAAGGTTGGTAGAATTGAGAAACTACAAGAGCACTTATCAAGACTCAACAGAGATGATTGATCAAGTAAAAAATCCCATAATGATTCAAAAGAGCAAATGACAAAACTGATGGACCTGATAAATGTTGTACTCCATGGAGAGAAAACCCTTAAAGGATCCCACTGTGAAGCTATGAATAAGGTTTTGAATGATAATGATGAGTCGATGTGATAGTGTCTGATGATCAAGAACCTATTAAAGAGCATGGTAATTCAATACAGATTCAAGATTTGGTCTCAAGGGGCAATCTAAGGAGTCTGGTGAACACTACCCCCAGTTATAGCTGAAATGAGCATTCAGACCCCCTCGATAACATGAAGCATTCATTCGTTCAGAATGATCAAAGAAAGTGATAGCCTCGCGAGCGAGAAAACTCTAAAGGGTTTCAAGAATCTATCTCAGACCTGTCCCTCATTTTGTTAAGCTCAATACATTACACCAAGATTGGTGAAGGTGTCACCAAGGCCTTATGCTCATTGCTATGATCAAAATAGCTTCTGTAATTTTCACTTGGGAGTATTTGGACATTCAACAGGGAATTATGGAAAGGAGGTGCTCAAAGCAATTGAAGTATTATACTCATCCAGCAAGAAAGAAAAAAAAAAAAAAAAAAGGAAAATTGAATCAAGATGGGTGATTTATGAGCCTCAAGTTACAAGTTGATCAAGTACAAACAAGAAGAGCAAGAAATGCTGAAGATATGAGAATTGGAAATGAATTCAAAATTTGGCAGTCTTGAAGGATCCAATTGATGGAAAAAATCCCCAACAAGCAGATCCAAGTTAAGCAAGGCAAGATTGATGGCATCAGAATGAATTGATCCTTGGTTGATTACCCTTAAACACTTATTTGGGCCTTTTTATCCCTTTCTTTCTTAACCATAAGCCATGGCCTACGTTACGTACCTGAAAAGTCCATTTTAATCATACATGGATTTCTAAGTAAAGATGATATCTTTAGAATTCATTCCGTCTTCCAAGATTGATTTTTATTGCAAAATTAGTTTTAAAATCTTTAATGCATGATATGAAAAAGATAAAGGTGGGTTCAAGATATAAATTTTTAAATAACATCTTGAAACCAAAGGAGGATTCGAGTTGAAAACCTGAAAAGGCGG